TATCAATACAAAATTTTGGAAAAGTTCAGAAAAGTGGGACAGTTTTGGAATTTTTCAAAAATGTTAATATCGTTTAGAATTCTAAGAATTTTCTATTTTTTACACACAAGTACCATGAACATAAGAATTTTTCGATAATTTGTGATGTTTCACATTTTTACATTTATGATGGATTTTGGGATAAATAAAATTCTCAAAATTTTGGAAAATTTTAAAATTTCTAAACTCTCAATAATTTTGTACATTTCTCATTTTACCAAAATTCTTAGAATCTCCCGGATTTCGATAGTTTTTGACATTTTGGAAATTATCATAAAAATAAGAAATCTCAAGAAATTTAATATTATGAAATTCAAAATTTTGGAATTTTCGTTGTTTTCTGAACCTGTCAAAATACTTGCTGTGACTTTCAACTGTGTACAATAATAAAAATTCGAAAATATAACAAAAAAAGTAAAAATTGAACGTTAAGTACATAATTTAAAAATTTTGAAAATTCAGTGAATTCGAATTTCCCCTACCTGGGTCCGCCACTGGTAACGATAGGGTTATTTATTTTTTGTTATAAACTATAACTCTTCTACACAGTTTTTATATTATCTGCTAGACTTTTGTTTGATTTGTTGTTTTTTTATGGTTCGGATTGAAATTATATTTTATTTTTTGTTTTAAATGTCCGTTGCATTTATGTAAAAAATACTGGAGTAGATTTTGTTAATTGCAGAGAATATGTTCTGAGAATCGCGCATTGAAGTCGGCATTAACTGACTTCAAAAAGGGAGGGAGATTATCAGTTCATCGGAGTACTTTTATATCTACTCTACAACGTTTGTTTCGCAACTTTTTTTTATGTGATGAAAGTATTTTTTTGTAGTTGTTGCAAATCTCCTACAAGGTTCCAAAATTAAATGGCAAATACGAAACTTGCAATCAGTGAATCGGCGACATATCTGGGACTCATATTGGATAAGAAATTAAACTGGGCAAAAAAATATATATGAACGTGTCCGCAAAGCTATGCTTGTCCTCTATTCCTGTAAAAGTGCAATGGGGCGTAAATGGGGCTTGTACCCCAGAACGGTCCATTGGTTATATACTGTCGTGGTTAGGCCAATACTTTTCTATGGAGTTGTGACTAAGAAATCAACCACCATCAGGCTAAAAAAAGTGAAAAGCACGGCCCTACTGTGGATTAGTGGGGCCCTACGAACAACACCCACTGAAGCGATGTTAAACTTACTGCCCATAGAAGGTATGGCGGAGCAAACTGCAGCTCGGGCTGCCGACAGACTGCGGAATCTATGCAGCTGGAAAGTAAATCAATGTGGTCATGCCTCAATTCAGGAAGGGCTTAGTCTGCCGGAAATAACGGATTATTGCGTGCCGGCAACGACCTTCGACAATGGGTATAAGGTAACAATCCCTAGCAGGGAACAATGGAACCGGGCGTTCCAGGGCCCGCGGATTCTATTCAGTTCTACATTGACGGATCCAAATTTAATAAAAAGATCGTAGGTGCAGTGTACGCGNCTGCGGAATCTATGCAGCTGGAAAGTAAATCAATGTGGTCATGCCTCAATTCAGGAAGGGCTTAGTCTGCCGGAAATAACGGATTATTGCGTGCCGGCAACGACCTTCGACAATGGGTATAAGGTAACAATCCCTAGCAGGGAACAATGGAACCGGGCGTTCCAGGGCCCGCGGATTCTATTCAGTTCTACATTGACGGATCCAAATTTAATAAAAAGATCGTAGGTGCAGTGTACGCGGAACAACTAGGAGTGCAAAAGTCATTCCGCCTTCCATTCCAATGTAGCGTATTTCAAGCTGAGCTCGCGGCTATTGAGAAGGCTACCGAGTGCTTAAGGACGGAAGCAGTAGGCAGTGTTGCAACACATGGACTTTTATTATTAAAACTGGCAGGTTTATTTCCATTTGGTAGGTTGGTAGGGTAGATTGGATTTTGATAAATTCAGCGACAATAATAGTTATTTCCGACAAATAGAAAATATTTATCTGAAAACATTTTAGCAACCTTGTTTACACGAATATTTCGCTTATAATGACGGGTGCAAATATACATATAAGGGGCAAAATTCGCCAGGTGTACCAGAAAAAAATTCTATGGCGCCATTTTGTTCAAACTCATGGTGGAGTTGCTGCTATGGTTACTGGTAACTAATGCGTAAAAGAACTTTTTTTCTACCGCGGCTTCTTGTCGAGGTATACGAGTTTAAACATGTAAATTTCAAACCTCAAGTCACAAGTTTTCTTAAAATTCTTATCTCACGTCACACTTTTGATAGAGGATCAAAAATTGCCAACTTATTATAACTTTTTCCTTGATTTTCGGTGCAAACTATAATATTATATTGCATTTTTTTAACAATGTACATCCAAAGAAAATTGCAATTGATTGAGTGTAGTTTTTTTCAGATCCCAAATACGATACTTTCTCGTATTCTGATTTCGTATTCAGATTCAGCGGAGAAAAAAATAATCATAAAAATTCATACAAAAATGTCGCGGCTGGCCAACTAAAAAACAAATTTAATTAATTGAGTGCACTTTTTTCTGATCTCGAAAACCCGAAATTCGGCTATATCTCAAAAACTGTTACTCTTTTACATTTTAATTCCATATTCGGACTCAGCGGAAAATTTTACATTGGGATGCATATAAAAATGTCACTGGCCGGGCAATTTTTGCATTTCTGTTATCTTGCGTTATTGCCAACAAAAATGCAAGGCGGACCCGAGTGCGTTCTATTATGAAAAATTTGTAGTTCTTTTTTTATTGCAAATTTATTTCCAAAACACTTTTTAGGAAAAAGTTCTAGGTTCCACCAAAAAGCAAGGAAAAAGTTCTAAAAGGTCAGCAGTTTTTGATTACCTATCATAAGTTTGACATGAGATAAGAATTTTAGAAAACTTGTGACGCTAAGAAAAAAGTATAAAACTTGCTTGTTTAAACTCGTATAACTCTACAAAAGAGCGCGGGAGAAAAAAAAAAATCTTTTACACGTTGGTTACCAGTAACCATAGCAACAACATGGTGGAGTTTCTAAAAAAATTCCGCCATACAATTTTTTTCCTGGTATACTTGGCGAATTTTGCCCCATANGAAAAAGGATCAAACTTGCTACAAAAGAGCGCGGGAGAAAAAAAAAATCTTTTACACGTTGGTTACCAGTAACCATAGCAACAACATGGTGGAGTTTCTAAAAAAATTCCGCCATACAATTTTTTTCCTGGTATACTTGGCGAATTTTGCCCCATAAATATACGTGATTCGTAAGTATGTACAAACGTATAACCTTTTTATTGCCACTATACATGCCTTCAATAAGAACATCCATATGTACTATGGCGGGCTGAAAAGGGCTTGTGCATAAACCCAGCGAATTTCACCATTGTCCCATTTACCAAAAGAAGAAAAGTTAACTTGACTAGACCCACCTTGGTAGGAACAGAAATCGACTTATCAGAAGAGGTGAAGTATCCACGCGTAAGTCTGGACAAACAGCTCTATTGGAACTCACATCTCTCGAACGTTACCCACAAGGCTACAAGGACGTTTCATGCCTGTTAGAGACTTCATGGAAAGTTGGATGGAATATCATCCAAACTAAAGTATTGACCTTTCAATACGGTAGTAAAACGGCACTGGCCTCGTGGTCAAAAGCTAAAAGGTCAAGGGTGGAACCTTGAGCAAGCTGCACNTTATCCACGCGTAAGTCTGGACAAACAGCTCTATTGGAACTCACATCTCTCGAACGTTACCCACAAGGCTACAAGGACGTTTTATGCCTGTTAGAGACTTCATGGAAAGATGGATGGAATATCATCCAAACTAAAGTATTGACCTTTCAATACGGTAGTAAAACGGCACTGGCATCGTGGTCAAAAGCTAAAAGGTCAAGGGTGGAACCTTGAGCAAGCTGCACCGGCTGGTCGGCGTGGCCATATCACCGGACTATGCGCACCTGTACAACAGATGCCCTTGGTGTCTTTACAGGCATTTCTACTTTGTCCATTCTGGTTTAAAAAGAGGCCTGCTGTTGATCGAATGACATAAAAAATAACTTAACAAAAGCAAGAGAACTTATCATTGCACCATCGTAAGTACGGCTAAATATCTCCGGAATGTCACTAAATTTTTTATGCAAAACAACACTAAAAATAAAATAATTACCAATGTCTGTTTATTGCTGCTTTCCCGCAGAAAATGTGATATTTTTTCTTTCGATCATCTACTCTTCAAAGTCCATCATGTCCTCACGACACTCGAGTATGTTCTACTTTAAGCAATGAAAGAAAAAAATTAGAAACAGAGTAGATGTTCGAGGCATGGGAAAAATGTGCAAAATTCAAAAAAATCTTCTTAAAAGTTAGTCCTCTTGCTTTAAAAAAAACCTGTCCTTTTCGGAAAATTTTAAACTATCCAGAAGCATTCAAACGAATAATANGAGTACAACATGTCCTCACGACACTCGAGTATGTTCTACTTTAAGCAATGAAAGACAAAAATTAGAAACAAAGTTGTTCGAGGCATGGGAAAAATGTGAAAAATTAGAAAAAATCTTCTTAAAAGCTAGTCCTCTTGCTTAAAAAAAACTGGTCCTTTTCGGAAAATTTTAAACTATCCAGAAGCATTCAAACGAATAATAAACGAACACAATTTACATATGTAGAATTTATATCTGTTTAAAAATCATTGTATTCTTTTATAGTTAATTTTTTATCGTAAATAGTTGTAAGGTATTTATTACAACTAAGTTTTTTTTTATTATTATTTAAATTCATTAAGGATTGCATGAGAGTACATTAAAATAAAAATTAAAAATAAGAAATAAATAAAATAATCAAACAAAAATCTAGCAAATTCAGCGCTAATAGAAACCATAAAAAATACTCACGAATGGTAGATTAATACAAAATACATATTGTACGAGTACAAGCCTTCTTTTAAAACTAAAACTAAAGCTAAAAAGCAAAGCTAATTAATAGGTTTTACAAAAATACATAAATACTTTTAAACACAAAATATAAAAAATTCACTTTTCACATTACTAATTTTGTGATAATCAATTTGGATGCCCTTATTTCGGGCGAGAAACGAATTCCTCTCCAATGTATGTATGTAAATTGAAATAATATTCGAATGCACTGTTAATGCGTTAATTTGATTAAATTTCTTTTCATGCTTCTTTTTGAAGCGATTGCTAGTACAATTACAATTATTTTTAAGCAGACATGAGCTTTCGCCTCTCAAGTACGAAAGCATATCACAGTTTCCAGCACTTTTTACATGGCAAGGCACTTTGAGTGCGAAAGCACTTTTTCTAAACGAGCGCCCGTTAAGGCAATAATTCCTATTAAGCGATCCCGCGCGCATTCCCCTAACAACGCATTGCGGTTGTATTATTGCGATAGATCCCAGCAGAATATATATAGCAGCGCCCCGGATTTTAAATCTTGCGCTGACTGTACATATCGGAGATTAGCCGTACGATGTTCACGTCGCCGATTGTTTTTCGGAAGAACAACTCCTCGATAGTGAATCCCGACACCTTGCTGATGAGCGGCAATACACCGACCAACGATTGAAAACGCATCGGTTGTGTTGGATGTGTACGCAACTCGTAGGCTTGGAGCGTATTGCGCGCCTCCTCGTACAAACTTGCCACCTTGTAAGCCTCGACGAGGCCGCGCGATTCCCCAGATGAACTCGAATTTGGACTACCACTGGCACCTGTGCCAAAGGAGTTATTTGCTACATCCTCATTTGAATTCGGCTTGCGGAAGAGGGTAATTGCACGCAAGCACTCAAATTCATTGCCATCGATGTTGAGACGACACATTTGGGTCAGCACTTCTTGGAAGACGTGCACTTCACCTTTCACCATATTCACCACTTCGCGATTCATATTCTCCGACTCGTAGACGAACAACAACTGTTGGAAGTTGATTGGCAAGAGGTGCTGGGCCATTGCTAGTATGAAAAATTCCTTCCAAGATTCCTCCAACAGCTGCAATTGATCGGACATCGGCAATTGTTGGAAAGCCTGTACACTCTTAATCCAATTGACGTTCTTAAAGAGATGTTCAGCTGCTGTCTCCTTCAGGTGTTCCGCTGCCATGAGTGGTGGTGTGGGCGGCAAAGCGCGTGTATTTATGAATGCGGCATTCGGGCCGAAGAAAGCGAATGGGCTTTGATGCATGGCGTGATGGGGCACACGTGAAACAGATAAATCCAAAACTACCGGCGGTTGGAAGGGGTTGGCTAGACCCGCATGTGGATGTGGATGCGGATTCGGGTGTGGATGCGGATGAGCATGTGGGTGTGGGTGTTGTGGCGCCTGCATGCCCGGTATCAGCATGGGCGGCACTGGAAAGCCACTAAACAAGCTATGGTTCATTAAGAGTTCTGGTGGTACATCGCTCGAACCCAATACTGCCTCCTTGTACAAGGCCATTTGCCGGCGCAATGTAGAGTTGCGTGGTCCGCGCTCATGTTGGACGGCGTCCTTGTTCATGCCCACCTCGAAGCATTTGCGCAGGCGGCATGCACGACATTGATTCCGATGCGTTTTGTCGACCATACAAAGGCCTTGCTTCTGAGATTTGCAAACATATTGGCGCGAGCGGCGAATGGACCGCTTGAAGAATCCAGCACAGCCGTCGCAGGCGTAAATGCCGTAATGTTTACCAGAGCTGTGATCGCGACAAACTTTACACGGCACATGATACAGAATGCGGCCTAGGGAGGGGAAAACACAAAAGAAATAATTATAAGTTTTAAGTTTTGCGGAAGGGGGTCGCAGTTGTACAAGGCGCACAGCGGGAGATGGAACAGCGACGGCCTTTTTGCCGTTCAGTGCAAATAATACGAAACGCCTCCAATTTCAAACTTCATTGTAGTAAAGTAGGATGGAGGGTTGCTAGCGTTGCACTTTTTCAGTTCCAGCTCGGCTATTGCCAATTACAGCTTCAAATGCCGGGGGGAGTACGCCTTTTTGTGCGGCGCCGAATACTTACTTGATGAGGCTGGTGATAAGCGCGCGGAATTGTATTTGTTATCCATAATATCCGGTGATACTTCAGCCGTTTGCATTTTTGGTTATCCGTTCGTTGGTAACAGTGTTTTTTCTTTCACTTCACTTTATAAATTTTTGATGATATTTTTTTCTTTCGTGCAAAATTTTGTATTTATTTTTTGTTTTGTTTGCTTGCAAAAATTTCACTGAAATAACACACGATCGTCTCTAAAACACTTCTCCTGCTGCTAGACGACTTTTGCGCACGAGATCGAAATGGTATGTGATGCTTAGTCTCAAATTTGTTCCTGCTTTAATAGTCCTTTCCGCCGCTGGCATATCCTTTATGGACGGCTACGCATTATGTGTGCCATACGATTCACATTGATCATCCCTTCTGCAATTGAGGTCGTTCATTGGCTGCTGCAGATGCGCAAACGGGGTGTGGTTTACTACAATTTCTCTCTCTCTAATGTTATTGCGCTGCTGAGAGTGAGAATGTACAGCATTCGGTGTCTCTCGATAGATCCTGTCACTGATGATGACCTGCCATTGCGAAAAATACGAAAGGAAAAGGAAAAAAAAATATTGTCACTACATTGTACTCCAACAAATGCAAACTATGTACGCTCAAACGCTACTCAAACGGTCGATGGCCATCGTAGTTGCAGTCGCTGTGACCTTTCTCAGCACTTGAGTTCAACGAAAAACAACAATTAGTACTGATAGTTGTTGCCTGTAATGTTGCAATGGCTGCTCTCTCTATCTCTCTTCCGGTTGTGATAATGTTGTTTTTGTTGTAAACAGCGTGTATTCAGTGTCGCAAATCTGTTACGCTCATAATTATGCTTTCAGTTGGAACCATTGTGTGACAGGATTTCTATGACACAGCCATGCTTGGGATTTAATGGCGAATGTGTGAGCTCATCATTGTCAACGCGTGTACCTGCTGCAGCCGGCAGTGATGGGGTTGTTTTTTGGACAGCTATGGTGTGTTTTCGCTCTTCTTTTTTCACGCAACAACAAACGTTTGTAAGTGCCGTACGAGCATAGCATAGCTTTTTGTGGGAGCTAGCGCTTTATAGGTGTAATAACGTTTTTCATTTACCCTTTTAATTTTTGTGCTTTGTATGTTATATGGTTTGGATAAATTTGTATTATTACAAATACGAAATTACGGTTTGAACTTCAAAAAATTTCTTTCTTCAAGAAAGACTTGTTAGACGTTTCACGGGATGACACAATAAGACTTACATCAAAACATCTAATTACCAATTAGAAATACGAGACGGATAGTAAAACTTGAGTTTATGTCAAAATTATACAAGTTTCTTAAATCCGTTATTCGTCTACGATTTTCGTTGGGTTTATTATAAGGTGCAGAGTTGTAATTCTTTACGTTAATTTACATATTGTTTTTTCTGTTATACGAAAGGTTAGCAGCTTTAAATTATTTATTCATAGTTTTTAGGTAATTGAAATGAGCCAACTGCATTAACGGTTCTAGAAGTTTGCTAAATAANGTCTTCTTTTTTCACGCAACAACAAACTTTTGTAAGTGCCGTACGAGCATGGCATAGCTTTTTGTGGGAGCTAGCGCTTTATGGGTGTAATAATGTTTTTCATTTACCCTTTTAATTTTTGTGCTTTGTATTTTATATGGTTTGGATAAATTTGTTTTATTACAAATACGAAATTACGGTTTGAACTTCAAAAAATTTCTTTCTT